ATTCACTCCACCTTCAATCGCCGCCAGCATGGCTGTTTTCAGCACGAACCAAAGCTCTTCCAGGCCTCTTGCTCCCATCAGGCTAGGTTACAGAGTTGTGTTACCTTGCTTCAGCTCCGGCCAGCGTTTCTTCCGTCACGACTCCCGATGACCACAGAGACTGCCCCCGCAAACAGCCCCCCAGATCTCGACGAGGCCTCACGCCCCCACTAGGCTAGGTTACAGAGTTGCGCCACCTCGCTCCGGCTCTGGTCAGCGTTGCTCCCGCATCGGTCTTCAAGGGCCACCGAATTCTCAGCCACCCTACGCAGAATCGAGAGTGAAGTGCCAGATCACCCCTATTCCAACAAATCACCTTGAGAGGCAGACCAGATTAAAGAATGTTGACTAGATGTGCTAATTTGAAAAATCGCCCCTCCTTCCCTCTCCCCCTCCCCCCTCAGCCCTGTACTGCCCCCGTCGAGGTGCATCTCCCACTCTCCCTCAGCCCCAATACAAGCCCGATCCTCTACCCTACTGTTCCCCAAAGAGCACGCAGTTCCCACCTAAAGCGTGCCTTCCCAACCCTTACCCATTTCTGCCTCCGCTGGGACAAACAGCCCCTGTCCCAGAATAGGGCAACTGTTACATACTTCAATGAGTATGGGCAGAACCAAAGATCAACCAATATAGGATGAGCATTTATGCAGCGGAAGTCTGATAATGAACTGACTCACATAGACTGACTCACATAGACTGACCTACATGGCATCACTCCACACACATACAATCATGAGATGGTGGGGTCTGGGTTATTCACAGACGATACCCAGATCCCGTACACACATACACAGATGAAAGGTGGGAGGAGAGACGAAGGAGGTAGGAGGTAGATCAAACCGATAGGTCACAAGATAGAGTCCGGTAGGTCTCCGAAATAGTAGTCCAGAATGTCATATAACAAGATCAAAATGTCGAGGACCAAAGGTCACCAATGTCGGAGATAACCGAGTCCAGATGTAACCGGTGTCCAACTGTGATGCAGCCGAGTATCAACCTCAACAATCTCCAAGTCTCCAATCAAGTAAGTACCACAGTCTCGTATCACCGAAATCTAACCCTGATCTCTGTCCAACTGGATAGTCTCCAATCTGAAGAAGAAGAAGAAGAAGAAGAAGAAGAAGAAGAAGAAGAAGAAGAAGAAGGAGAAGAGGAGAGAGAGAGAGAGGGGACTGGCGAGGGAGAGGAGGAAAGATCCTCCTAGCTCCCGGTACCTCAGGCGGTGGGAACCGCCGTGTCACTCAGTCGCCCTGCCGCTGCTCCGCTCGCTGCTGCGCTAATCTGCGCTATGCTGCGCTCCTGCTTCAGCCCCTGCGCTAAGTTTAACGCATCAAAACAGCGCTCTGGCGCTGACCATACCGTACCGGTATAGTGCCGGTAGGTCGATGCCTCAACTGAGGCAGGTACCGGTACTTATACCGGTAGGCATTGGTCTGGCCTCAATGGTGCGAGGCCAGGCCAGACCCTGAACCGTCCAGATGGACGGTTCAGCCTCAATCGGCGGGCGGCAGCTTTAAGAGCGCCGCCATGCCCAAACGATGTGTCGTTTGGGCCTACCTGATGGGTGGCTGTCCAAAATCAGGCCTTTAGGGCCTGTGACCCTCAAAGGTCGGGCCTTTAGGCCCTGGTGTGTCCCTCCGGCCCTAAGTCAGGTCCGGTAGGACCTGTGTGACTCGAAGATGTAACAGCAACCCCCTGCTCCGCCCCTACCTTCTTTGAGACCTTCACCCCCCACCTTGTGATGTCCCTGCAAGATAGGGCTCCCCCCACCCCCTCTTACCTGTAGGTATAAACAACCAACACCGCCATGAGGGACGACCGTCTAATGATAACAAATCTAAGGAAAATATTGATGATGATCAACGTGAGAAAAGTGGTAATACAAACTGATGATGATGATGATCGCAACAAAAGATGAGAATAATATCAGTGGTGATGATTATAGTGAATGACTATAATGGGAATCGATGTTGACAAATCTGGGAGCTGATGATGATAGTAATGTGATGATGATAATAATGGGAGTGATAGTGATGATGGTAATGATGATGATATCGAAGATGACGAAACTGAGAATGATGATGATGATGACGATGATGGAAATGGTGATGATAATTTTGATAGTACTCCTGATCACAATGATAAGATGATGATACTGATGATGACGAAGATAAAGGTGATGACTATCCTGATAATAGCGCGCAGCAGCCTGCGCTAGCTGAAAATGACACTGACTCTAATGACCAGATGATGATGATGGTGGTGATAATACGAGGGGCAACCAGCGCGCATGATGCAGTTGCAATGATGAGTGTCGAGCAGCACACACGTGCGGGGCAACTGCCCGTTTTTTTTTGCCACGAGTTTTTTTTTTTTTTTTTTTTTCGTCTTTTTTTTTTTTGATTTCTTTTAAATCCTTTC